GCTTTTATTTATTTGCATTTTTTAGTTTTATTCTTCCACTTGTGTTTTCGTCCTCGCCTACTCATCACGTTCTTTCATCCCAAGTTCTTTATTTGTATTCTCTTTTCTTTATTTTTTAAAGGCACATTTCATGTTAATCGACATCACTTTTGTATCTTTCCTCTTCGCATTCTTGGCTTTCAACATCGCCTACTAAGCCTTCATCCTAGACTTTCCGACTGTCATAATTTATCATAACTTTTTCCATCGTCCTTGTTGTTGTCGTAGATTCAAGTTCGTCTCGAAAGAAGATATGGCCAAGTTGGTGAGAATTTTTTGGTATAAAGCAAAATGTTTCCCTGCAGACAGTCCGGTAGTATGCTTTTAGCACAGAAATCCCTTGGCCGATACGAATGAGAAAAAGTTAACTAGTCTAAGGCGGGAGCAGGGACTTCAATTCAGTCGTCTCCGAGCTTTGTGAGACCGACTGACTTGGGTCTGGGCAACAGCGGTGGGAGAGTGACGAGCAATGCTGTGCAGGTAAAAAAAATATGTGGGAAATCTCTCACAATTCCTTAGGCCTGATTCTTTTGGACGTCGTCACTGACGGCGTCCAAAAGGACACAACTGAAAAGAATACAAGTCGTCCATGTGTGGTGTTTCCGTTGAAAGAGGGCCAGGATGGAAGGGGGACCAGTGAAGGGCTGTTAATTGGCGAGTTGGCCTGTCGGATAGGGTTGAATACGCTTTTTTATTTGGCAAAAATGTCCGAGAAACAAAGCAGCGGTTACTTTGGTGTGAGTCGCAAGATACAAACTGTTGATTGGGCTCGTCGGCACACTCTTCGAGGACAGACGGAGTTCGACCGAGGTGGGCGGAGGCATTGAAGTGGGTGAGAAGGGGGAAGGCGGAAGAAGAGTCAGACTGGCGAAACATGTTGCAGCAGATGGCAGAATATTTTTGCTTTCCTTAAGTCTCCGGTTTGAGCTAAGCAGAGTGAAGCCTGCGCCTTCGAGGAAGCGCAGAGCTGAAGAGACATTCTGGGCATCGGGGAAAATCCGTGAAGCGGTTGGAAATAGGTGAATAGTACAACTTGTGAATACTAAAGTAAGGCTTTGCATAGTCTTTGACTGGTTGAATAAATGAGTAATATGTTGTGTGAGTAGT